GTCTTCCCGTCACGTAACAATTGGCGTGGCCCAAAACGAAGAATTTACGGGTTTCAGAACTTCCTTGCCCACCATTTCATCTAACGCCTTTTTACGGGCTCTCGAAGTCCAAGTAGGATAATCCAACGTTTCATAAACACCGGAGAACCGGTCACTTCGAGACTCACAGGAGTCATTCTGATACCACCCTTTGCCTTGGAAAATTTAAGTAGTAAGTGACGAAGGCGTGATTGATGGGAGTCAGACATGAATGAAAATGGCATATGCATACAAGTCATACAATTCAAACGAATTATCGAAATGTCGGAATCAATAACCAAAAACGGACAGTGAAATGTTTGTGATTTATCGTCTTTAAGAAGCCGTTCGCATGATCCTAAGACGGGCAAAAAATGACCGGTAATTCCCTAACTGAAACGTCTGTTGGGGAAAGTGCAACTGGGGGGTTTAACTGACGAACTACGTTGTTGGAAATGAAAGAATCAACACTGCCGGTGTCCATAATGAATGTATGGTGAATGGAGTCATTAATGATGAAGTCGCGAGTAATATGGCGAGAGGGACGTGAATTGGTACTGGCTAGAGTTAAGGACCGTAAATCATAAAATAAATCTTTAGAGGAATGGACAGTCGTACGTATACACGACTTCGCACTTTTACAGACAGATTAAATATGGCTAAGCTTACCGCAATTGTGACACTTGGCATTTCGAAATCTACAGTATAGCGAATGTCTTTGACCACAGGAATTGCACATGTTCCGTCTTTGAATCCATTGGTCATTGCGGGCCGGAGAACTGATGTTGCTTGGTATTTTCGGGCCCTTTAAGAAAAACCGCTTTCGTCGAGATGGTGACTGTTTGGAATTGCTGGCATTGAAAAACAAGTTGGATTCATCACAAATAATGGCACGGACTTCTTGGTACTGTTCACAGACCGCCGTAGCCAACTGAAACGTGCAATCGTGCATGAGTAGGAGCTTTTGCTGTAATTCCGGGCAATTAATACCGGCAATTAATCGATCATGTAACTGGGTTTGATCTCCAAAGTTGCAACGAGATGCTTGAGTCTGAAGCTAGAGAATAAAGTCACGTACAGGTTAGCTTCCGCCACGGGTGAGTGAATGAAATTTTGCTCGTTCAGCAGCTTCGAAATTAGCCGGCTGTAGATGCTTCAGCAGCAAGGTTTTCAGGGATTCATGTGATAACGATACAGGAGAGTCAGGAAAAGCCAAATTCTTTAACAATGAGTATGCATCCTTTCCGATAACCGTTAGGAAATAAGCCGTTTTGCGTTCTCCATCGAGTCCCTTCCGCGTAATACACCAAATCTCGAACCGTTCAAGATAGTCTTCGACTTCGCGCGCACTGGCATGTATATTCAAGTTCTCCAAATTACAGGACTCCATTGGTTCAAAATGACCGCGACGCCAGTTGTGGTTCGTACTCAGACTAGTATTTCGTATACGTATCGGATTCCGCACACTAATAGTCCGACCCAAAACTAGGACTCGAAAAGAAATCAGAAGTCAACTCAGAGGGGGAATGGAATTGTAATAGGCGGAAATTAGAAATATATAAGGATATCGTGTTCGATGAAACAAAAGAGTTCATAGTTCATGAGCAATCACCACAGTGACATTGGTGTCGCTAGATAGTGGGGAACATGTAGAGGTGACGGAGGCTTTCACTAACGCCGACTTGCCGATGCGAGCAGTGGAATCGATCGGGTAACTAGCAACGCGCTGACTACACCTAAGAGATTTACTTTTCGAAGCTGACTCTACCGAAGTCGATTTGCTGATAGGATGTGACGTACCAGAAGCACACTGGATGCTGGATCAGTGACTGGACAGCAGGAAAGAACCCTGCGCCGCTCGCAGGACCGCCTCATTCGGCCAATCGTAAACCATTATCAGTTAACTTCCTTGCCACTACCACTGGCAACGATACGATCGGGCAAACCCTAAAACGGTTGAACGACAATGAGTTCAACGACTTGAGCGACCAGAAAGGGTGCCCCTCTGTAGAGGATAACCAGGCATTAGCTATAGTCGAAAATGGGACTAGCTGTCAGCCCGACAGTTTCGAAGTGCCGTTACCATGGAGGACGGGATGTGTGCGATTACCGAACAACCACGGAATAGTCGTAAAATGGTTGGAGTACCTTAAAACGTGACTGGTCCGAGACACAGAGCTACGTTATCAGGACGCCTCAGCGATGCAACGGAACGAGCAGCTGGGATATACAGAACCGGTGAACGTGTGGTAATCAGAATAGTACTGAATTTAGGAATATGAGAACCCGTAATGTACTGCTCAGAACTGAATTGTCTCCAACCGGAACTGCGGACACCAATGAAATACACGAGGAATTGATAGCAGCAAATGCTTATGTTTATTGATGGAATTAGATCATGTTTTATAGAATGTAATAGTCCATATGATTGCTTGAACGAGCATCCTCTAATCACTTAACCGTTTGAACCGACGCATCATATGTACTAACTCGGATGTCATGTTCCCTCGGTGTACTATTGGTCGAGCTTCCTGAACGGTGATTGGATGACATGAAGCTGTACCTGGTCGCGCATGGATTGCGGTCACGTAAGTCTGGATCACCACAACGTTTCACAACCACTCGGGGCTGTGTTGGTGTGAGCCTCCAGTCCATGCAGGGAATCTCTTTTTGTTAGTTCGGATAGCTTTGCATTGGCCTGCCCGTGAGCGTCCATGTGCGCATCAAGTGCCTTTTCCCAGGGTTACAGGTGACACTGAATAGTCTTGCTATTTCTCTGCTTGTTTCCGGTTGCCGCCATGTTAAGCCCTGCGGTTGCCGATTTGACAACCCATATCTTAGGTTTAGACTTTACCCCAATGCCTCGAGTGACCACTGCCGTGGCAGTCGTAGTCCAGTGGGAACCACCAACTCACAAGTGCAAGAAGCTGGACGTTCGCTGGCCGAAACCTAAAGTTCTGTGACTTGACCTGTCCTGTCGTGATCTGACCTTGAAACTTTACCACTCAGTTTGTTTTACTTTACGGTCTGCCGCGAACGTGCGCTAGCTGTCCATCGCTTACATCATGGGTCACGCCAGTATTTATCATTCCCATCCGAAGAACTATGGTCAAGGGAGCCGTTGCTGTCGAGTTTGCGCCAATAAACATGGACTTATCCGAAAGTATGGTCTGAATATGTGCAGACAATGTTTCCGTATGTACGCCAGTGTGATTGGCTTCCGAAAGCTTGATTAAACCATCGTTATTATTGGTGTTAGCCTTTTAATTCACCTTACAGGGCCAGGGGGTCAAGTTCTTGTTGCTGATTGGTTTTGGTTTCTGTTTTCACGCTCGGTTCATAAGCGTAGTACTTTACAGCAAGCCGTTTTTCATGCCACCTGTCTACCGCAGCGCTCAGGAAACTGCTCGTGACTGCAGCACTTGCGTTGTCTTTCAATATCCTGGTTTTTATATAATTGACAGTTTTTCATTGAGGGTCGGCGCTAGCGATATCAAAGTTCACCGCTCGTCAGTGAGAGGAATTTCTCGTTGGGTGAGCTTGTTGTATAGTATTTACGTTTTTATCCCAGTCGTTCCGTCAGTTAATTGCTCCTGGGGTCGCACGTGGTTTCTTCTTGTTTATATACCATTCGGTATTGCCTATTTTTGCAATTTGGAAATGCTCAAATGATGAGTGATCGCACATCGGTTCTGTGCTGGATCACAGAACGGGCCAGGACATCATCGGCACTGCTGCTTTAGCGGTAAAATCATCATGCAGTTTCCTCTGGTTACCGTTGCATTATGTTTGTCTTAATGTACGGGCATAGTGAATAAATCAGTGTCTTTGTTATTTATTGAGTCTACAAATATACAGTCAGCTTTCGGGAAAGCACCTGCCTGGGGAATAGAAATAAGGAAGACGTTTCCTCTGCAGAATAACTTGCTTCTGTAACGTGATTGTTTCTATCGTTTAATCTACGTTGTGCTTCGGGCTGGGATGTTAGACGCGTGTACCGATCCTGGATCCTGTAGCCGGTGAAGTAGCGTGACAAAATAGAAATTCTCTGCTTCCACGATTGATGTGCAGATGCGAAGTGTTAATTCGGGTCTCCGGATAGTATTTTCACTCACTCTTCGTCATTTTGGACACCAATGAGTGTGGGGCTGCGAGCAGATCAACTATTAATGGACGAGACTGCACCTTATGGTGTGATGGCTTGTGCATCTCTGTGACCCACCAAGCTACACGAGATGGCTTTTATCAAACCAGGAGATCTTATCATGGAAGGTCAATGGGTAGAGGTCGGACGAAGTTCAGTCTCCTGGTACTCCAGGTTGGGGGTTCCACTGGAATTAGCGTTTCAGTCAGTAAAAAGTGGGCCCACACTTCGTTTCACCCAGTGCCTTGCGATTAGGTTCTCGTTAGAACTGAGTGCTATGCACGAGAACCCTAATCGTTCTCCTGCCTAGTGGCTGGACACTAGTAGCACCCGTCCATCAAACCCCAATGCATGCACAACAAAAATGATTTCATACTGCTCTCTCCATTTTCCCTTTCTTCCGACCTGTAATAGTCAAGCAACTTGGATGTCGCTCGCCAAAAGTCGTTGCCGAATAGGACTGTAAGTGATGTATCCCGAAACGAATTGTAGATTCTAAAGCCTCGTCAATCACAGAATCTGGGGGCCTTCTGGTGCCGGTAGGTCGACAAGCTTGTCTGGCGCGTACAATGGAACCCTTGGGGATTGATATCTGCTGCGTGTCGGAGACTCGGATCCAGGATCCTACTACTATAAGCCAACTGAACGCGAAGATTTGTCTTCGAGATATGTTCTTCGCACATCGGGCGACGAAACCCGCTCAGCGGGTCAGCGCAGAGTACGTATTGTGCTCAGCAACAGGGCGGAGTCCTCTCTTGTCGATTAGATCCCCGTCAACAGTCGTTTATGTGCAGTGCGTCTCCAGGGTTCAATCAGCATCCGGAAGGGAAGAAACACCAAAAGGTGTTTGTTCATCGTATCTGCATACGCACCGACCAAAAGGGCGCTTTCTACGATGAACTCGATCGATCTCATGCGACTGAACCAAAGCTCTGACATAGTTGTACTCGCAGGCGACTTCAACGCGCAAGTTGGGAAACTGAGCGCATCAGAATCTTATTTAGGCAGAATTTGTGCTCTACCCTGCAAACGAACAGATGACGGTGATCGACTTCTTCGGTTCTGTGCGGATCATCATCTGTTTCT